CTTGGGTATTGTCCACGTGGGTGATACTTCTTCCTCATCATTACAAAAAGCAATTTATTCTTTACTTTTGGATCATTCATTAAGTAGATCCAAGATACGTGGACAAGGCTATGATGGAGCTAGTAATATGCAAGGAAAAATAAGTGGTATCAAGTTTTTAATTTTGCAAGATACTCCCTCCGCATATTGTATTCACTGTTTTGCCCATCAATTGCAACTTGCACTTGTAGCTCTTTCTAAAAAGCATTCGGATGTGTATAATTTCTTTTATGTTGTTACTAATATTTTGAATACTATTGGATCTTCATTTAAGCGCATGGAGTCACTTCGTCAACATCAAGCAGATAAGTTGGAAGAGTTGCTTAAATTTGGAGAAGCCTATACGGGGCAAGGTTTGAATCAAGAACGTGGCCTCCAACGACCGGGTGATACTCGTTGGGGGTCTCATTTTAAAACTTTAGACAATTTGGTGGTTTTATTTCCTTCCATTGTTAATGTGCTTATAGATATGAAACGTGTCTTGCACAGAGGCGTATCCAGGATTTTAATAACATGGGTGCACCATTATCTTTAAGACAAATGTGTGATTCGATTATATAAAATTTGTGGTGATAACGAGTTGACGAGCAAACTATATTAATATATTTTTTTTAATCCAATAAAGATTCAAGGTTGAACTATTGGAAATTACAAGCAGTGACATAAATATTTTAGATAAGCAGAAAAACAAACAAACTCCAAATAAACTTGTCTGGAAACTATACAATGAAATGTTCTTGATACCCAATACAGGAAAAGAAAAGCAACATACCCATTAATTAAGAGTGGGGGGGGAAATATTGAAAAGCAAAAACTATTGAGATTTGATAATTTCACTACAATAAGCAAAATAAAATGTTAAAGTTTAACCTAGCTAAGGCACTGAAGCAACCTGGCTAAGGCACTGAAGCAAAATGAAATGTTAGAGTCCAAAATGGAATGGGGGAACCGAAAATTTACTTCAATTATATTAATATTATATTCACAAAAAACATCATTCACTTTACAATTGTCCTCGACGAGTTTTCATACTTTGAAAACGGTCGATAATAGCATTATTACTTACAGTTTTAAATATCTTACGTTCTATATAGCAAACTAAACAATCATTTAGAAAATCATCATCCATCCTATTTCGTAGATCATTTTTGATGTACTTTATTGATGAGAATGCTCTTTCCACGCTTGCGGTAGCAACAGGTATAAGCAAAGTCAACTTCACAAGCAAATAAATAAGTGGCCAAGTAAGATCCAGTTTTGTCTCTATCATCACTCTAGCAAAATCCTTAATCCCCTTCAGGTTAAGAAATCTGCTATCACACTTTTGAGCATAGACAATGAAACTATCAAGTTGGAAATCGAGTTCTCGAAGCTTGTTATCACCAAATTCACTTGAATAATACTCTGCTAACTTCATTATCTTGTCCTTATCAAAATTAGAAAATGAATCAACCGGACTCAAACTGGCCATACCAAGTAGTAAGTCAGTAGTCACAACATCAAAACGATCATTAAGCTCTTGAAATTCCAAATCAATAACCGTATGAAACACTTCCACACGAAAGTGATGTAAATATGAAACTCCGAAACTCTTACGCTTCGACTTTCCTAGAGTATAGTCTTCATCCATTTTGGGAACTGGAATATCATGTTTACTACAAAATGAGCACACCTCTTCCAACAAAGAGTTCCATTCAGTTTCTCTCATCATTTGCAATCTTTTCTTTGCAAGGTCAAGCATTCCCATAGCATTAACAATATCTTAATTTTTATTTTGTAAGGCTTTGTTCAATTCATTTGTAAATAACAACACCTTAAACATCAAGTGCAACATAAAAATAAATCCAAATTCTTGAATCTGGTTTAAAAGATTTCCCGCTGCAAATCTATCAAGATGATATGGACAGTCACGCTTCATATCTTTAAGCACATTAACAATGGAAGGAAATAAAACCACCAAATTGTCTAAAGTTTTAAAATGAGACCCCCAACGAGTATCACCCGGTCGTTGGAGGCCACGTTCTTGATTCAAACCTTGCCCCGTATAGGCTTCTCCAAATTTAAGCAACTCTTCCAACTTATCTGCTTGATGTTGACGAAGTGACTCCATGCGCTTAAATGAAGATCCAATAGTATTCAAAATATTAGTAACAACATAAAAGAAATTATACACATCCGAATGCTTTTTAGAAAGAGCTACAAGTGCAAGTTGCAATTGATGGGCAAAACAGTGAATACAATATGCGGAGGGAGTATCTTGCAAAATTAAAAACTTGATACCACTTATTTTTCCTTGCATATTACTAGCTCCATCATAGCCTTGTCCACGTATCTTGGATCTACTTAATGAATGATCCAAAAGTAAAGAATAAATTGCTTTTTGTAATGATGAGGAAGAAGTATCACCCACNAAATGCTTTTTAGAAAGAGCTACAAGTGCTAGTTGCAATTGATGGGCAAAATAGTGAATACAATATGCAAAGGGAGTATCTTGCAAAATTAAAGACGTGAGACCACTTATTTTTTCTTGCATATTACTAGCTCCATCATAGCCTTGTCCACGTATCTTGGATCTACTTAATGAATGATCCAAAAGCAAAGAATAAATTGCTTTTTGTAATGATGAGGAAGAAGTATCACCCACGTGGACAATACCCAAGAATCGCTCTATCACCACTCCACTTTTGTTGACATATCGCAAAATTAAGGCCATTTGCTCCTTATGCGAGACGTCCTTTGATTCATCAACCAATATTGCAAAATAATCACCATCCAAATCTTCAATGATAGCTTTAGTTGTTTCTTTAGCACAAGCCTCCACAATCTCCTTTTGAATTGTTGGACAAATCATCATATCATTTTGTGGAGCATGACGTAATATTACTCTTCCTAGATCCGGATGTCGATCTCCGTGCCATTCTAAAAGTTCAAGAAAGCCACCTTTATATTCAGATTCTTCACTTTCATCATGTCCACGAAATGGAAATCTCGAAATTAAAAGAAACCTTGCCACATCAATTGAGGCATTTAAGCGCATCTGGTAATCACTTTTTACTTTTTCACTTTTCTTATCAAAAGAAGATTGAATCGATTGACGTTGATTTTTCAAATCTAACATCCTATTGAAGCATTTGTGATGAATATTATTTACTTCACCAACATGTGCTTTGAATCTTTCCACACCCTTGTTCCAACCCCTAAAACCATCTTTTGTAAATGCATCCCCTGCATTTCCACGGCTTTCAAGTTCATTCTTGAACAAATAACAACACAAACAAAATGCCGCATCTCCTTTTATGCTATACTCCAACCATTGAGAATATGGTCCCCTAAACCAAGTGGGACTAAATTGACGCATTTTACTTCCAATCTTAGTTTTAGGAAAGGCATGACCAATCGGTTGATAAGGCCCTTTGTTTATATAATATCTCCTCACTTCATCTCGAATATTAGGACCATAATCCGAAATTGGCATTCTTTCTTTGGGATACGGTTCAAAAGATTTCAAATCAAGCACTTTATCTACATTTGAAAGCAGAGAAGGATTTGTATCCTTTTGAACTTCCGGAGCGATTTGTGAACTCTTGGATGACCAACTAGCACTAGAACTCGATTCACCATTTTTTGGCTTGGTGAGAAATTTATCCATTATAATCTTATGGATCATTCCTCCAAAATTAAACGAAGAACTGTTATCATAGATATACAATATAGTATATGCAGTTCCTCGTTCAAATAGTATATGCAGTTCCTCGAAGTTGAGATTAATATCAATAACTGTACTTTATCCTAAAAGAGGTTCACTGGGCGTGAATTCTTTCCCCACCTAAAGGAAAGGAACTTTAATTTTTCTTTTTAGATGATATATTCTGGGGGTAGATGCTCACTTGTTCATTTAATAGGCTATTAGAATTTTATTTTCTCCTCTGTCAAATTACACAATGCATATGGAATTTGACATTAGCTTCTCACTTCTCAGAGGAAGTATCACAATATAGTTTTTTCCTATGGATTTCAATCTTTGACTCAGCTAAGCATTTTCCCAAACATAATATGTGCACAAATTCTATAAACTATCAAAATTCAAGACCTTCAAGCCCTAGCTCTCCCAAATTCGCACTAGAAATAGCAACAACTTCTCATTTCAGAAATAAACATCAGAATCACCATCAAGGCATCAACAAGAAAAAATCTCGGCAAGTGATTCAAACATTAAGCACTGAGTGTCTGAGCAGAACGGGAAAAGAGAAAACGGGGAATAGCAAGAGGAGAAGAAAGTTGCAGCTAGTGAATTAAAATACAGAGCAAGGAGAGAGAGTAGTTACATACCTGAGAATTTTAAAGGAACATGGAGAAGAAATTGTTGCCTTCTTGTCTTCTTGAAGAATCCAGTATTCGAGCCGATAGAGAGAGAGAGTTGAGAGGGAGAGACGGTGTATTTTATTTTTAGGGATTTGATTATTGATTATATATACCCAAATTCCCCATAAAAGATGTGGGCTATATTTTTAGCCAATAGGAACTTAAAAAAATAATATAATTACAAAAAAAAAAGGTGTAACTGACAGGGATTGAACCCTTTACCTGAGGGACAACACACACAGTCATGCAGGGGCACCAGCTTACCAATGCACCAAGGTAGTCATTTGAGCATGGGTGGTCACAAACATATTTATATAGAAAAATTTAAAATTGGTACTGTTTATACATAGGCTAGGGAGGGGAGCATGGGTGCACGTACCCCACCCCCTTCCATATAAATCCGCCTCTGCATTTATCCGTTCAAAAAAATACACTCCGTCTATCTATCCGTTCAAAAATATACACGAAGTTAATTCTATTAACAAAAATACTTCCGCGACTAACGGCAGAACTGGTGGTTCTTTCATTTAATGACGTGGTGATTTTTAATTGGGCCACGTGGCAATCTTTGACTGGACCAAGAATCAAATATAGGTCTTATTTTTACCCATTTACCTGGTCTGACCCTATTTATTTGACCCGCCTAATTATTTTCTTTCTTTTTCTTTGCTTTTTTTCTTTTCTTTTTTCTTATCACCCAGCACACCCACTCTCACGCACTCTCTTCTCACAAAGAATTTTTAGCGTTTCTTTGTTGAAACAAATCTATCTTTGTGTTTGAAAATATGGCTTTGGCTTTCATTTCATCTGCAATTCATGGCTCTTTGTCCTCTTCTTCTTCTTCTTATGAACATCCCAAAGGTAACCCTTTACTTTTTCTTTTTTTACCTTTTATAGATTCAATCTTTATCCTAGAATGTGATAATTTCAAGTTTTTAGCACCTTGGTTTCAATTTCCTTGTGTGCTTGTATCAGTTATATGTAGTTATTTTTTCTCTGTTATTTTGTGGCTCTTTTATCTTCTTATGAACAATCCAAAGATTTTCACTACTTGTCCCTTTCAAAGTTTCAATATTTCTCCTACATTTGATTGATATATTTGGACAATTTTAGGATTTGGGCTCAATTTTTTTGTTTCAGATTTTTGGTTGTTTTGATCTTTGTCTTCTTACTTAACAACCCAAATGTATCCGTTGATTTTCCATTTAAGAGTTTCAATACTTATCCTGAGTTTGATTGGAGAAATTTCAGAATCTGGTTTGAATTTCGGGTTATTTGATTTTGGGTTTTATCTATTCTTTAATTAATTTGTTATTGTGTTTATGCAGTATCCCAATTGGAGAAGAAGAAAGGGGGAGATCAGATGAGTGGGAATGGGTGTGATAGATACTACCCATTTTTGTAAATGGATCGGATAAGGTAAATGGGTTGAAATAATATCCATTTGTTCTAGTCAAAGATTGTCACGTGGTTGCTACTTTTCTAAATGGTTGTGATTGTTGTGAAGGGGTACCTAGACTTTGTAGACGTTAGTTTTTTTTTGTTCTATTAATTATGGTATTTAGGTTAATAAGATGGGCATTTTAGTAATTTAACTTTTCACTTAAGGTCTTTCCACTTTTAATATAGTATAGATATAGGTATAGATTCGGGTTGGTATATTTTACATTCCTTTTTCGAAAAATAAACACTTATTCTAATTATTTGGTGTGTGTGTAAAATATCGAAACCTATAATTTTATTAAGAAAATTTTAATAATCAGTTCGGTTTGATTCGATAACCTGTGACATCCTACTTAATGCAAATAACTGGATCTTTAGTTTATTGAATAATACAAAAAGTTATAGCAACTTCTTTACTTAAAATGCATTTCCATGAGAGGAGCAAAAATAACCATTTTAAAAGATGACAAATGCTGCTAAACATAACCTAGTTGTACTTTTCCTATAGTTTGTCGATATATAAAGTTTAATATTACAAAATTGAGGAAATAACACTCTTAGTCCCTGTATTATAACTATATTTTGATTTTAGTCCTTGTGTTATCCAACTTACCACTACTAACCTTCAATTATATTATGTGAGTGATTTTGATCCTTCAACTAACAGACCTAAATATTTTTAACGGGGATCGCTTAATCGAGAGATAGATCTGGTATTACACTTTTCGTTTGCTTCTATCCTCTGCTAGAGCTCTCTCTCCCTCTCTCTATCTCTATCTTTCTCTCTCTTCGTAGAACAAGCTCATTTGAGCTAGATCTGATGCCTGTTTCTATTTCTATCTATGTACTTTTTCTCTCTCTATCCGACGAACGCGAGCTCATCTAAGCTACATTTGAACAAAACCCATCTGTTCTTGCGAAGATTTTATAGTGTACTCGTGATTCTGTGTATATTTCTCTGATTTTATTTAACTCTCGTTGTCACTTCTCGATTTTCGCAATTTTGAGCTAGGTTGGGTGAATACACTACTCTCTTGGTTCCAACATCATTTAATTTGCAAAATCTAAGTTGCTGCCTGGATATCTTGTCTGATTTCTGGGCTTTCTCGTGTTTTTTAGAACTTTAGATTCTAGGAATTTCTAGAATAAAAAATTGGAACAAGCCTGTAAAATTCATTAGAAAATAGGGGTATAGCTTGATTAATGAAGATTAGAAGTGAAAGTAGTGCTAGCCACATAAGCTACAAAAGCAGTAGCTGAAAAGATCAAGTTGTATGCAGCGGTACTTTTGGAGCTCTTAGAATTTCTGGTGTACTCTTGGCTACTGTTGGAGGTATTGGATGGCATGCTTTAGATTTTTTTATGATATTGTACTACTTCTAGTATTCAATATCTCTATGCATCTATGTTTTGGGGATTATGGTCTACCGCGCCTGAAGTTGTTAATCGGTCATTGAGCCATTTGCACGTGAATGAGCAACATCATGGTGGACATTACCATAGAATTGATATGGATCACCCTATTCTTGCTTTGAATGTGACTATACTCTTAGCTGTTAAAGAAGGGTATAGTCATTTTCACCTTCAACCAAAAAAAAAAAGATAACTTGTTCCCTTTTCTATCTTTTTCTAAGATTGTTAAGGACATAGCAATTGGTAGGTTAATATTATAAAAAAAGTATATATATTTGTATTAGTTTATTATTAAAAAAAAAGAAGATAAGCAGAGTTCTTCCAAAATACTCACTGAGCATTACTTTCATCTTATACCAGCGCAAAAAGTGGTGATTGTGAGATTCTCTCAAGCTTCCCGTTTAGTGATTGTTGCAAGATACTGTAGGGGGAGATCTCTGTTTCCCTTTAGCATTAGAAAACTTATATTGGACTTTCCGCTAGAACCCCAATATATGTAAAAAAAGGGACAATTAACTTTGTTGCCATTTGTTCTGAGCACATATTTTCATTGTACTCCTATATTTAGAGAAGTTTGTCTATCGTGTATATACACACACGTACACGCACATATATTTGCTGAGTTATATTGTGTACAACTGGGATCCTGTGTTGTGAAGTAATTTTATTATTATGAAAAACAATTGCTTTGTAGTGATTATAAAAGTGAACAATGAAGTCGCCATACTTGTTTTCAGATGCAGGGATAGTACTAGCTATTGTATAATATGCGTCTAATAATTTCTTTAATATATCTTTTCTAGGAAAAATAGTTCTTTTTCTGCTATTCTGTCCCTCTACATATGCTTTCTATATAATTTTTTCTTGTAGATTATACTGGATAACAAAGAGAGTGGGATAAGATTGGCAGTGGACTAATAAAAGTCAATGCTTGGCATCATTGTGCTGATGCAGTATCCTCCATCGTTGCTCTCATAAGAGTTGGTAAAGATTTTTGGTTTAAAATACATATCCATCACCAAGAATATAACTAACTTTAAAGTCATCGCAGAAGAAATAGATCTGAAATCACACATTCCTTGTTCATCATTTTCTTGATTTCTTATATTTATGATGAGCCAGTAGCTCTCTTCTTAAGGTGTCCCTTTCTTCCTCTCTTGCTAGTTTGAGAAAGTACTTCCTGTAATTTTGATGGTGGAACATATTGTCTTTCCCCCCTCGTGATGAAGAGTGAGCTTGTACCTTTCCTAGAGTCCTCGCCAATTTCTAGTAAAATGAATATCGAACTCTTTCATTGCTCTCTAGGTTGTGCCATGTGCTGGCTAAGTTAATTGATCTGACATATGTATTAAAGAACATAAGGCAGCTGGTAAGTTTTAATATTTACCACTTAATAATCAAAAAAGATTCAATATTTATCACATAGATATTAAAAAATATCATTCCTAAATATAAATATTAAAGAAGTGTAATTACTGGTTGTTTAGTCACAAATGAGGAACTAGACTGCATTGATGCTTGACTCTCATCGATAATACTTGTAACCTACAGCAAACAAAATATTTCGTGGTTTCAGTCTTAATAAATTTAACCAACTCATATGAAAAGAATACAAAAATAAAATAAAAGAATACATTTGGAGTACTTACTTCTGTTATATTGCTTGGTTCACTAGAAGGGTCTTCTCTTCCAAGTCGTTGTTGAACATCTTCTTGGTGGTTCTGCATGATAATAGGACATCTTCTACTATTATGTCCTATTTTTCCACATGTACCACAATTCTTCTTTTTTTCCTTTTCTGGATGCTTTTAACGAGTTATGCTTTTTATGATCTGATTCTTTTGAAGATGTTTCATCGGATCCTTTCTTTCTTAATTTTTTTGGTCTACCAGGCTGAGTTTTGTAAATAGGTGGCAGCGCTGGTTCTACTCCTGTCTTAGGCCACTCTTCATAGCTATTAATTGGCAGGATTGAGGGTCCATAACTCTTCATATACAGCTCAGTTATGTAGCATTCATGGACATACATTTCTGGTTCGTCCTTTTTAACCCATACAGCTACAATTGCATGATGACAAGGTATTCCAATTAACTCTCATCTCCTACAAGAACATGTTATCTCCTTAAGATCAACAGAGAATAGTCTAAGATAAATGTCCTCAATTTGGTAATGGAACTGGTCAGCTTTAGTGGCAATACATTCAGCAGCCTTAGATTTATTTTGCTCTAACTTCAGCAAGATTTTTGGACAGATTTTGTGCTTATGCTTCATCATGTTATCTCTATTCTTCTGAAATCTTGACATCATGTACAACCTAATTGACTCGAGCATTGTCAAAATGTGCTTGTCTCTAGCAATCAATAATACGGTATCGAACGATTCACATAAATTGTTCAATAGCATATCACACTTTGTGAAAGAAAGAGAAAAAAGCTCTGGACCAGTGAATAGGAGGCTTATTATTGAATCATTGAGGGGCTTCTGAATTCAACTTTTCCATTTCTTCCATATAATTGTGGAATTGAGCTTCAGTAGTTGCCCTTGCAGCTTTCCATAGGACGTCCTTCAGTGTTTGTCCCCCAAAACCTTCAATTTTAAAGTTGTCGTGCAGGTGACTCACACAAAAACTGTGTGCAACATCTGGAAGTACCTCATCAAAAGCTTGCACAAAAACTGTGTGCAACATCTGGAAGTACCTCATCAAAAGCTGGAAGTAGACCCTTTTGCTTATCAGATATAAAAGTTCATGCAAAAGGGTTTTGTGAGATTTCTAGGTCTTCATCAAGAAGAGTGAGAAACCAACACCATTTTTCTTTTAACTCACCTTCTACTACAATATATGCAATTGGATACATGTTTTTATTTCCATCAACACCTACAATAGTCAATAGTAGCCCACTTTTTTGATGTCCTTTCAAGTGACATCCATCAACCCCTATAATTGGTCTACATCTTGCAAAGAACCCTTGTTTACAAGCTGCATAGCAAATATAGAGCCTTAAGAATCATTTTTTGCCTTTGACCATTGTGTTTGGATTATCATCTAGCTTCAAAATACATGTAGTACCAGGATTACTCATGTTGGCCCAAGAACAGGTGAAGTTTTGAAGAATGACAAATGAACTCAGTCATGGATCAGGTTCATTATGTGAAGCACAGTCATGATCAACCTATACATGTGAGATGCACGTGAAGGAGATAAGTCTCACTGATCAAGCAGCAATATCTCCAAATCTGATCGAAAAGGTTGCATATTGGATAAGGGGAGAAAGTCTCCTTATATGAAGAGAACACAATCCGGATAAAGAGAGTGTTAGAGTTTGATATCGTCAAGGACTCAACTACGATAGAAGATCAGAAATTGGATCCCAATCAAACTCTGATTATTAACCTATTAAATGACAGTGATTGATCTCTTTTACAGGTATTGCACATACGCAGAAGTTAAACTAAATTAAAAGAAAAAAAGCAAGGCGATTTTGCAAGCAATTTATGTGAGATTTTAGTATGCACTCCTGAAGCTACTTGAACGAGATAGAAGAACCAAATCTATTGTGTTTTTTTCTTATTCTAGTTCAATTGTAGTAAGTGGTTTAAAGTTGTACCTTTCCAGCTTTCATAGAAGCAATTGTATTAGGTACTTTGAGAGTTCAAGTTATATGCTAACTTGAAGTTGCCGCAACAGTTAGAGGTTGGTTGCTACAACGGGATTAGAGGTAATCCTTAGGTTTACAAAGAGTTTTGTAAATGCTGTTTTGGCTCAATGATTTAGTGAAGTGTTAGGGAAAATCCTACTGAGTAGTAGGTCGTGGTTTTTTCACCTTTTGAGCGGGTTGTTTTCCATGTAAAAATCTTTGTATTCTTTATTTTATGTACTTTTAATTCCGCAAACAGTAGCAGTTAGAACACCTAGAAGAATTTGGTTCTTCTAGATTGAAAATTGGGTACCACATAAATCACCTCCCCCCCCTCTTGTGTGGTATTGACGCTTAAAACATCAATTGGTATCAAAGCAGGTTATCCTTGAAGAGGCTAACACCTTAGGAAAAGATCAACATGAGTGCACCACCTGGAAACTAGGAAGGGCAATCCACTACTAGGCCTTCACTTTTCAACGGTCAGTACTATTCTTGGTGGAAAAACAGGATGAGAAATCACATCATAGGAGAAGACTATGAACTCTGGGACATAGTCACTAATGGCCCTCTAGCAACTACAAAGAAGAATGCTGAAGGAGTGGATGTGCCAAAGACTAGAGCTGACTGCACTGCTGAAGACCTGAAGAAGCGGAAGAAGAATGCTAAGGCCAAGAAATGGCTTGTGTGTGGACTAGGTCCAGATGAGTACAGTAGAATTCAAAGTTGTACCACTGCTAAGAAAATCTGGGACACTTTGCAAGTGGCTCATGAAGGAACACCTCAAGTGAAGAGTTCCAGAGGAACACTATTATACTCCCAGTATGAGAACTTCACCATGAAGGAAGGAGAAACCATCCAAGAGATGTATACAAGGTTCACCACACTGATAAATGAACTTAAATCTCTTGGAAGGATTATTCTCGAAGAAGACAAAGTTGAGAAGATTTTGACCAGGGTTCTGCCAGTCTCTTGGGAAAGCAAAATCACTGCTATTCAAGAATCAAAGAACATTGCTACTCTCAAGCTGGATGAACTAATAGGAAACCTTACTGCCTATGAACTGAGAAGGCAGACCATGAAAATGGATGTACCCAAGAAGGAAAGAAGTCTGGCTCTCAAAATTGTTGAAGGTTAAGATCTGGAGGATGATTAAATGGCTATGATCACTAGACATTTCAAAAATTACTTGATGAGAGGAAAGGGGTCTTCAAGAGGTACAACCTTCAACAAACTTAGGGCTCCTGAGAAACAGACCAATGAGGGCTGCTACAAGTGTGGTAAGACTGATCACATGATCAATAACTGCCCTCAATGGGAAATTGAGTGGAAGAAGGAAAGGGCTGAACGAAGGAGCAGGAAGAAGGAACAGGTTCAACCAAAAAGGAACAAAGGATCAACAAAGGCTATGGTTGCTACCTGGGGAGAAACATCAGATGAGGAATCAGAAGATGAAGCTGGAGATGAATAAACTCTTATGGTCATAGGAGAATCAGATGATGAACAAGAGGTAAATATTCTTCATCTTAAAGACAAAATTAAATTCATGTCTAAAGAAAGGTTGTCTGAGCTATTGCAGGATTTCATTGATGAGTTTGAGATAATTAACAATGAAAAGGAAGAGCTGTCTAGGGAATGTATGATCCTAAAAGACAAATGCAAAAATCTAGAGTCTAGGGCTAATGAGAGTGAAAGTGAAAATACTGAGTTGAAGAACCAGGTTCTTGAACTTGACACTAGTGTCCTAGAACTTAGGTCTGAGAACTTAAAACTGAAACTAGGAACGGGAAAGAAGAAAGCTGATCATACTGATCTCACCCTAGAAGAAAACTTAGGAAAAATGAAGGATGAGCTATACAGGAAAGATGAGCAGATAAGAGTACTAAAAGAAGATCTAGGGAAGGTAAAACATGAACTAGACAGAACTTGCAAATGGAACAAGGCTTCTGATGCACTCTCATGTCTACACGAACATCACAGTAGCAAAAAAAAAGGACTTGGTTATGGAACTCAAGCACCTAAGTGGGATCCTAAAAGCAAGTACCTCACTCTTCCTAAAAACAAAATTTGCACACATTGTGGCAAGACTGGCCATTACAAAAATGAATGTAATGCAAAAGAAAAGGCCAGTCAAGAACAAAACCTTTATTCAAGAAAAAAATAGGCTGCCTGGGTGGGCTAGAAGGAATCTGATTTATCCCTTTGCCCATAGAAAGGGACCCAAACTAGTTTGGGTTCCTAAGACTAACCCCTGATTTCTTTTTGTAGGTCCAAGTAAAGGGAAGCAGCCAAATACGGTACGTGGATAGTGGCTGCTCAAAATATATGACTGGAAGCAAGAACCAGTTCCTTTCACTTAAGGACTTAAAGGGAGGCAATGTCTCTTATGGAAATGGAAAGAAAGGTGAGATCATTGGGGTTGGAAAGGTCGGTAAGACAGACTCTCACTCCATTGAGAATGTCTACTTGATAGATGGCTTGAAATACAGCCTTATCAGTGTGTCACAACTGTGTGACCGAGATAACCTTGTAGCATTCACCTCTACTAAATACTTTGTGATTAATCTTACCATTGACAAGATTGTTTTGCAGGGAATAAGAGTTAACAAATATTTACATTATAGATTCGTCCACTTTCTCAGAAAATGAACTAACCGGCCTAAGTGTGCTGGATAATGATCCCCTCCTGTGGCGCAAAAGACTAGGTCATGCCAGTCTGAATCAGCTAAACAAATTGGTCTCTAAGGACTTGGTGATAGGGTTACCTAACATCAAGTTCAAGGAAGACAAAGTTTGTGAGGCTTGTGCAAAGGGGAAACAGGTAAGATCATCCTTCAAAAGCAAGAAAATGGTAAGCACAACTAAGTCGTTGGAACTGGTCCATATGGATCTATGTGGTCCAATGAGAACCATGAGCAGAGGTGGAAAGAAGTATGTAATGCTACTTGTTGATGACTATTCTAGATTTACCTGGGTACTGTTTCTAACATCTAAAGATGAAGCATTTGACATGTTTACTGCCTTTGTTCGAAAAACTCAGAAACAATTAGGAAATCAACTTGCATCAATTAGGTCTGATCATGAAACTGAATTTGAGAATGCTAAGTTTGCTGAATGTTGTGATGAAAATTTTATAGATCATAACTTCTCTACCCCTAGGACACCTCAACAAAATAGAGTAGTTGAAAGAAAGAATAGGACTCTTGAAGACATGGCTAGGACTATGCTTCTTTCTAGTAAATTGCCCTATAGCTTCTGGGCAGAGACTGTAAACACTGCATGTTACATTATCAATAGATGCATGACTAGACCTCTTATAGAGAAGACTCCATATGAGTTACTTAAAGGGATAAAACTAAATATATCCCATCTTAGGGCATTTGGTAGAAAGTGTTTTGTGCACAATAATGGAAAAGATTTCCTAGGTAAGTTTGATCCCAGAAGTGATGAGGGAGTATTCTTGGGATATTCTTCACATAGTAAAGCATATAAAGTGTTCAATAAAAGAAATTTGTGTGCAGAAAAAAGTGTATATATAGTATTTGATGAAACTAACATTATGTCTGAGAGACACGAACACGAAGATGAAGCCATTGGATTGGTAAAGGATCTGACTGAAGCCTCAGCATAAGTCAAAGTGTCACCAAAAGAAGGAACAGGTGATGGAATGGGTTCTTCCATCCAGGGCAACCTGATAGGAGGAATAATCAAGGAGGAATTGAAATAAGTCCCCTAAAAGAACTTGTTCATGACCCTGTTCCTCAGCAACAGAACATGGGAGAAACATCTAGCAGAAACCAGTTGGTTGTGAGACCTCACAAGTATCAAAGTTCTCATTTTATTGAGAACATTATCATTGATCCAACATCTGGAGTCAAAACTAGATCACAATTAAAGAATCTGTGTGTTTTTTATGCCTTTTTATCTCTTATTGAGCCTAAAAATGTTGTTGAGGCTTTGCAGGATGCAGACTGGGTGATTGCAATACAAGATGAACTCAATCAGTTTGAGAGAAGGCAAGTTTGGCATCTAGTTCCAAGACCCAAGGGCAGATCAGTCATTGGTACAAAGTGGGTCTTCAGAAACAAACCCGATGAAGATGGAACAGTTACAAGAAACAAGGCAAGACTGGTGGTCCAAGGTTATATCCAAGAGGAGGGCATAGACTATGATGAGACCTTTGCTCCAGTTGTAAGACTAGAGGCAATCAGACTCCTCATAGCCTTTGCAACACACATGGAATTCACTCTTCATCAAATGGATGTCAAAAGTGCTTTACAGAATAGCTACCTAAAAGAAGAAGTGTTTGTGAAACAACCTCCAGGGTTTGAGAGCAAGGAATATCCTGAGCATGTGTACAAGTTAGACAAGGCTCTCTATGGACTCAAGCAGGCCCCAAGA